GGGGGGGGGGGGGGGGGGGGGGGGGGGGGGGGGGGGGGGGGGGGGGGGGGGGGGGGGGGGGGGGGGGGGGGGGGGGGGGGGGGGGGGGGGGGGGGGGGGGGGGGGGGGGGGGGGGGGGGGGGGGGGGGGGGGGGGGGGGGGGGGGGGGGGGGGGGGGGGGGGGGGGGGGGGGGGGGGGGGGGGGGGGGGTATGAGTTTGTGTGTGGTTGGTGTTGTTAGTTTGGTATATGTAGTGTGAGGGATTTGTATGTTTTGTTGGGTTGTGGGTTGGTAGTTGGTATTAGTGGGTTGTTGGGGTGGTGAGGTGTGTGTGGAGTTTGTTTGTTTGTGTGTTTTTGATGGGTTGTTAGGTGGTGGGTAGGTTATGTGTTTGTTAGGTTTTTTGGGGTGTTTGTGGAGTGGTTTAGTGTTTTTTATTAGTTGGATGTGTTTTAGATTTTTTGGAGTATGATTATTATGTGTGTTGGTAGTGTGGGGTAGTTGTGTTGATTTTGGGTCTTTTATTATGGTGGTGAGTGTGGTTTGTTTTTGAGGTGTTGGTTTTGGGGGATTATAGGGGATGGTGAAATGGAGTGGATATAGTTGGGTTATTGTATTGTTAGTAGTGTATTGTAGTTGTTGATTATGGTATTTTGTTATGATTATATTGTGTAGGGAGTTATTGTTTTTTTTTGGACTGCTTGTTTTTTTTAGTTTTATTAGGTCTTAATTTTTTTTTGAATATACTATAAAAGATAAAAGAATAAAAAATTAAAAAAAATATATGTAAAATAATTAAAATATGAGAAAACAGGATTTTAAAGCCAACGTGGTAGCGAAATGCATTAGAGCGCAGTATCTTATTTTTATTATATACCATTGCCGTGTTAGGCACTCGCGATTTTCGTTGGAGGGATCAATATATAACTCTTGCAAGATCGTAGCTTAATATAATTATTTGTCGTTGAGTGGTTAAGGGCCTACGGATTGATTTTGTAATTTCATATAAAAAGAAGAATTAGGTGCTTCAGTGGAAAATATTAGGAGAATTTGCAGTCGGGTTTTTGTACATAAGTATGAGGCCTATTCTTTAGATAATAGATAAATAAAAATGCCTAACAATATGGAGAGTATAACACCTAATGTACTGAATAATGGATTACATAATATTGTAAGACTGTAATAAAATTGATGTCAAAAGTAAACAAAATGTGAATGTCTTTGGAAAGTACTGAATTGAAAACAGCAGCCTCACCAAAGATAAAATCACCTCACCTCCAGTTCGCGGTTTGAAAAGTGGCCACATTTCGGGCGCGTCCACTAGCGCGTTGGCTTGGTCGAGTGAGTTGCATGAATTTGGTCAGGCAGCCGTATGATGTGGGCGACATGGATTTTCTAACCAAGTAGCTTAACCGCATTCTGGTTCAGGTATCGCTTGTGGGGTCTTATGGCGACTTCGTGCCGTTCCAAGTTATCGAACGGTATACGGGCGTAATCGAGAGGCGGGAGGAGGGGCGGACCTCGCGGGCGGCATGTGACAGGGGGCGGGACCTTTAGTATCGTCCATTGTTCGATGTCAAATATAAAGGGTAAAATGCCCGGATAAGCTGAGGGTGGAAGATGTTAATGGTACTCTGTATGACCAACAACACGTTTGCGCCATGAGTCACACCTGTGCAGACGTTCTTTCCAGTAATCCCCTTAATTGCACTACAGTGGTCCCTTTGAACACATTTCAGTGTCCCGAACGATCATCTGTTTCATCGAAAACTAATGTACACTTTACTTTGAGCCGATTGTGTGGCCTTCACGCGCCTATTCTGCCTTCAATCAGGGCGAAAATTTTACCCCCGTCCTGGGTGGCAATATTAGTTGCTACGCGACTGGCGTAGCCTCTTGGTTCACCTCCATAAGCACTAGCGGAGTAGATAACAGGGATTTTTGTTAGTCTTAACTCGCAGTTAAACTAAGTGCGATAACCATCACACTACTGGAAAACGCTTATCAGGGTGTGTGGTGGCTATGCGATTGAGTCCGACTGCAAAAACCATCTCCAAAACGCCCACTAGAACAGTCTCATTCACCACGCCATTTTGTTAAGTTCTATACGTCTGTGTAGGGGTACTTGGACTCAAAATTACTCCTGGATTTTCGAAAGACAAAGACGCTTGATGTGTGCTTTGGCGTGAATCCAGTTTGCTGACAAGACGCCAGACTAAACGAGCAGTTGATCGATGCTAGTAAAAAGAGAGAAATTTTCGGTTATACATGCGGTTATGCAGTGTATATTAGGCTTAGGGGGCTGGTCAGGGCTTAGATCACTGACTTGTCTGTCGTAGCCTACACATTGAACCTGGCAACTCACAATTGCTGGAGCTAAATGTCGGAATGATGTCAAATGGCTTAAATGTCTTATACTGTGTACGGAAATATGTTCCAACACAATCTCTACTAGTTTGATAAGCACGCGACTCGGCTGCCTGTTCTTTAACGCTAATGTGCAACATAAACATTGTGGCAACCACGCGACTGCTTCGACCCACTAACGGTAGTGAGAACATGAACGCGTGACTTTAAGGCAGGTAGCTTGTTTGCAAGCTGAACGAAGTGCGGATGCCGCCTCAAATTTCCTCAATAGGTTAAGGTGCCTGGGGTTAAGAGCAATCGCCTTTACTCTGGACCAGGTGCCGACCAGGAGTAGATATAGTGTATGGTATGCGGGCTAACTCACTTTTTTCTGCTAACAAACTTCCACTACAGGCCGATACTGATGGACCATACCAAACTGATCAGGGCTTCAGGATTCCATTTGAATTGCTCACAACAGTTTCGCACGGTTTATGCGGAAACAACTAAACAACTACATGGGCAATCTATTTCTAACCGAGCTTTCATCACATGCTTACTTTCTTGATGAAACATTCTTTCCGCTCACAGACGTACGGATGAAACAAGCGCCAACCCATTATTGTCGGTCTCCCTCTCCCTACACGTTTACAAGCGGGGGAGCGGGGATCCAATCGGTCGTGGCTTTTGCCGATGCCAATCAGCCGTCACCTCCACCGACCCCAGGTGGCTTTACCAATGGGAAAACCTAGATGACTCATCCGTGGTACCTTCTTGGTGCATGGATCTCACCGACTCGACACCCTTGCATTGCATGAGATCTCTGTGGCGTGCTTGAGCGGCGCTGCGCACAGACCACTCTAGTGCATATGAAAGTCGGTTTAATGTGTCGTGTAACCCACTTATCATCTACACGCCTCCTCACGGTGGTGAGCAATAACCATATGTGCGCCACCATGCATCCTAAGGCGTGGAGCTCTTTTCCAGAACCTTCAACGGGGCATATGCGAATGAGAGCGAACCACTTGTGTCACCCATGGTGCCACCACTCCTCTCAGCACACCTGTCGGACGCTTACAAAGGTCCATGAGTCGCTGCGCCTGTATGGATGATGGTTGTGTGGAAGGTACCTTAGTTGTGAGGTTTCCAGGCCAGGCAGTGGCATATTCCAGGGCGTCCATTGACGCGGAGTCCAAGACTGTATAGGTTGTTGGAACTTCGTGGACAGATAAGTGGTAGTGAATGGGTTTCCCCAGGGTCCACTCACTCGCTAGTCTCTGTTCGGAGTTAACAAGTCGTACAAGATTCAAGCGCGTGATAATCGCTTGAAGCGATGGACGCAGTTTATTGATCTGCTCGTGTATCTGTTGGCTAAGACAGAGCAATGCAGGATAGTCTTTTGCGAACAACACTGATCCTATAGCCTTCAGTCATGGTTATTCGTCATCTATATTTGGGGAATAGTGATGGACGAACTAGGTGGACGATAACAGGGGATGGTAAAGTAGAGCTTCAACGATTACGTCGCAGTGGACCAGGTGCACAAGGGTCCCAAAACGAGAGTACGATACTTAACACGGGTGTTGCGTGATGGGAAGAATACACAACATCAGTAGGAACTGAGCATGGGTGCTTGAAGTGCATTCTTGTTTTGACTTGCTTTGATAAGGTGTGTTGTAGAGCAAATTCAGATCAAATAGCAAACACCTGTGCTTCATGGCTGCAGAAGAAAAATAGTGGCTGAGCCCAGTTAACTAAAGAGATCGGGTATTACATGAATGGAGGCACTCCTAGGTTCAGATACTAGACCACACAAAAAACAAATTATGACACCTGTTGCTCCTCTATATCGCTTGTAGTTTCGGTTCTTCACTTTAGCAGTTACAATTTTACTGGCAAGAGCTAGATAGAGGTATAACGTCGGTTTCTGTGTTATTTGATTGCACGTTTCACCACATTTGCACAACCGTCAATTCGAGCATCGCGTCAGCGTGTATTTTGACGTAGTAAAGTCGCCACTCATGACGTCACTTTTGTGATGGGAGTATACACTCGAACGAACGTGCGGTGCCAGCCCAGCAAGGAAGCCGTTAGGCTGCCGCAAGGAAAGGCGGCAGCTGATAGGACGTTCACACGTTTCTCGCATGCACGCTGATTGGCCAACAGTTGGACGCATTGGAGTGAGTTTGTTTGACTGAATCAAAGGAAAAATGTCATGCATTCACAAAGGTCGTTAATTATGGATCCAACTAGCTGTATATACCGATATGTTTCACTCGCCCTCTGCCTGCGTTTTCGCCTGGTCCTGTTGTTTGCAGAATATACGTTTTGTCCCTGAAGGACCGACTTTTTACATGGTGTCAGAGAAGGAGAAGAACATTAGTACCACCCAGACGATGATTGGAGCTGCACCGGCTATTCAAATGCCTGCCCCGCTGAACATGGATGAACGCAGTTTGGCAAGCAACTGGCGTTTGTGGAAGAGCAAATGGATGGATTTCTGCACTTTATCGCGTCTGGACAAACAACCGATGGCGTACCGCTTGGCCATGTTTCGACACGCAGCAGGAGATGATGCGCGCCGCGTGCTAGAGACATTGTGTTACGACAAGAGCGAAGATGCCAACAATCTGGAGACAGTTCTTGAGAAGTTCAGTGAATACTGCGAAGGCCAAACAAACGAGACATTTCAACGCTACCTCTTCTTTTCGCGGAACAGGCGGCCAGGTGAAGCCGTTGACACGTACGTCACTGAGCTAAAGATTTTGGCCCGATCCTGCAGTTTCTGTAAATGCATGGCGGACAGTCTCATACGGGACCGCATTGTTCTTGGGATCAATGACGAAGGTTTGACGAAGCGACTATTACGAAAGCGCAACCTATCTCTGCAGCAA